GGGCCCCCCTCTGAATGGAAGCGGAGGGTGGGAGGGTGGCAAGGCTGTACCTGACCCCAGAGCGGCTGCGTTGATGCCCAGAGGGTTGGAGACGGTGGGCGTGCTCCGGCTTGGGACCGGCTCGGGGTTAGGGCCTCCTTCGTTCTCCGGCTCCTGGCCCTGAGAAGCAGGAACGGGATTCCAAGGGTTGGGCAACGGCTCCCGGTTCTCCGTCCGCAGAGGCTGTGCGTTTGGGGCCTCCGAGCTCCCGGAGAGGGCAGAGAACGGATTGTTGCCAAACTAGGAGAAGGAGAAGCCAGGGGAAAAAGGAGCTGTGCACCCCCGCGCCTCGTCGCAGGGGTGGGGGGGGCCGGCAGCAGGGCTGCAGATCAACTGACACCACCAGGTGAAACAGCCCAGCTGGCCTGGGATGCCCAGAACCACTGCAGAGGGGAGCCCTGGAGAAGCTCGGCTACGCGTGCGCTTGTCAGGCCATGCTGGGTTCTGCAACCCATCAAACTGCAACCCATATTTGAGCCGACGAGGTTCTCTTGGAAAGGCCCCACGATTTCCACCCCTCGGGGCTCCTAAGGACACCCAAATATACGACCCTCCCCCCTGGAAGATTGGGGTGTGACTTCAGAAGAGGCGAAGCCCCCGAGTCCCTGCCGGTCACGATTGAGGCTGTCCCCATAAGCCGGGGGAAACAGCCGAGCCATACGCCCACCTGTTCCCTGGCAGCGCTGAACATCGGTTCCTGGATGTCCGTATACATGCGCCGCAGGGCGCTGTACCCTCCGGGAACGCTCTCCAAGTTGCTCAGGGCTCGGTCCTGGTTGCGCATCATCTCTTGCATCATGGCTGGGTTGCGCGCCAACTCCATGGTCTGAGGAAAGAGGCAGAGGACTCTAAAAGCCAACCGGAGGGGAGGCGCCTTGGTTGCCACCCCCTTTTTTGTGGCATGAGACCCGTCGGAGTAGAGCCACCTTGTAGGGGAGGTGGGTGGCACAAAAATTACATTTGATTAAACACAGTCTAGACTCTTTTTTTTTTTTCCCCTAAGAGTCTGCCAGAACCCAGGATTGACCCTCATTGAACCGGCTTCTGGAGTTGCCGGCAGAGCAACTGAAAAATGAGCAAGCAAAGGCAGAACCTCCCTCTGGGGCAGCGCAAGAGGACCAGGCCAGACCCGAGTCAGAAACCAGGGTCCAGGCAGACAGGATAGGGTACACAATACTGTTTGGAAAAGCAACCGTAGCTGTTGCTCTGCTTCTGGAAATAGGCTGGACAGAAAAGTGGCTGCTCAGGTCTTAAAACCGTGATCCATTAACTAACACACACACACCTTAGCTGGTCTGCAGGAGGACTTGGATCTTGGACCGCTGAGAGCTACCCAAAATTTTCTCCACGGAGGGGAGGGGGGGTGAAGAGGAAGCAGGGCCTGGCTTCCAGCATGCAGAGGACGGCCAGGCCAAGAAAGAACCACAATCAACACGGCCAAAGCCCCCAGGGGAGCATTCCCTCGCCCAGCCCAGGCCATCCACCACACCCCCCAAAGCACAGAAGCCCACCCAGACACAGGGGGGTGAGGCTACGGAAAGCTTCCACGCAAAAGGTCCCCCCCACGAGAGGCAAAGCTGTGCTTGGGTGGACCTTCCACACCACCTCTGTCTCCAACCACCTCACCCACTTCCAGGTGGAAGGCGTCATTCAAGAGAAAATGTACGGAAGGCGTTCAGCAAAAGCACCGGGGCCGCCTGAGCCAGCAGCCGGTCTGCCCCACAGCACCGGGCGCATCAGCCGTCCCGACCTCAGGGGCTCAGAAGCTTCCGCTGAGATGGGACTTGGCATCCCTCAGGCTCTTCTAGGGCATGGAACCCCCCACGGCCGAGGGGAGCCCGGCACCTGGTTCCCCAGGGCATCTGCAGCACAGGCCTTCTGACCAGGCAGGCTGCTGCCCCTGAGCCACCAAGACATGGATCCGCACAAACTCCTTTGCAGGCCTTCCTGACAGCGTCCCCTCCTTTCTCTCTGCTTCAAAGCAGGGAGCGTGTGACCATCCCTGGGCGCAGAGCAGAAAAGGCCCCACACTGGCTGGGAACAGCTACCCGCCACAGCTGAAGGAGGCTGGCAGGCCGGGCTGCTCACACCTGCCTCGGTCTCCCCTGCAAAGGCAGCCACAAGCCAAAGAACGGAGAAGGTGCCCACCTGGCGCATCAACTCGGGGTTGTTCAGCATGTGGGTGATTTCTGGGTTCCGTTCCATCAGCTGCTGCATCTGGGGGTTGGCCGTGATCATCCGCCTCATGAAGTCTGGGTTGGACATCATGCTCTGGACCAAGGGGTTCTCCATGATCTGGGACAGCATCTCCGGGCTGGACATAAGCTGCCGCTGCATCTGCTGCTGAAGCTCCATGAAGTTTGCTGAGCCCATCCCCAGGTGGCCAAGCCCAGCAATGCCACCAAAGCCGGCTGGGAGAGGACAGAGGAAGAGCAGCTCAGACAACGACCTCCGAGGAAGGGGTCAGTTCTGCAATCTTCGGCTTGGTGCCTTCCCGGCATCCTGCCATCAAAAGGGGTGGGGGGGACGGACGGACGGACGATAGGTTGACCAAGACCAGAGAGGCGTGGAACTAGTTTGTGCCAACACTGAAGGCCATGCACCCCGAGAGTGGAGTGTGGATTGCCCCAAACATCTCCGCGATTCTCGAAACACCTCTGCAGCTCTCCGCTGGCTGAAGGCGAAGCGGTCAAGGGGGCCGGCACTGTAACCTTTCCTGAGGGAATCTTGGTCCTAGCCTGACTTTACTGCAGCCAGCAGCAACTTTTAACCAAAGAACCTATCGCTTCACCCAAATGGAGCTGAGGGCCTTTCTTTCCTAAGGGATCGGAACGGAGGCAAGATCTGGTCTGGAACGGATCTTAAGGAGAAGCAGGAAAACGGCCTCTCATATTTTGGCTGCCTCTCCACCATTCCTGCGTATAGGTACTCGAAAGCCAGTCCCTCACCATGTTTTGGCCCTCTCTGGATGGATGACCCTGCCGCAGGGCCACCTGAGACACTAGCAACTCAGACCCCCCACCCACCCACCCAAGAAGGAGCACCTGCCTCCCTGAGCTGCTTCCTAAGAGCTCTGCCAGTCGAGAGACCTCTCTTACTTACACAGGATGGAGGTGGCCCCGCTGGGCGTTCCTTCCCCAGCTGACCCCGGCGTGCCGCCCAAAGCGCTGCTCCTCCAGCTGCTGTTCCCCACGTCTGAAAGGCCGCTGCTGGATGTGGATGGCTGGGAGGGGGCTGCAGGGGATGGAGGAGCTGCAGAAGGGGCCAGAACTACCCCAGTGGCAGAGGGAACAGGAGGGGAAGCCACCGTCACCCCGGGAGGTTCTTGCACCCTACGAATCAAGCAAGATACGGCCATTGCCATTGGGGAGGCAACCACTGGCTGCAGGTCCCAAATGGGGGAGGGCCATAAAATAAATCCCCACTGAATGGACTCCATGCAGGGGAGTTTAAGGGTCGAACTCTTAGGTTTGTGAGGGGTCTTTCCTGAGCACGGCTGTTTTCTTGCAGATGTTTCATTACCCAAACTAGGTAACATCACCTTCGGCTTGTATCTCTCATTTCCCAAGGGAAGCCAGCACTCTTCTGTGAAGCAGCGGATGGAAACTAACCAAGGAGAGGAGCAACCTGCAACTCAGGAGGAATTTCCTGACAGGGAGGACCATTAATCAGTAGAGTGGCTTGGCTCCCGGAGTTGTGGCTGCTCCATCATGGGAGGCCTTTAAGGACAGCCCCTTGTCTGGAATGGTAGGTGGTCTCCTGCTTGGGTAGAGGGTTGGACTAGAAGACCTCCCAGGTCCCTTCTGCTGTTCTGTTTTTCTTGTGAACGGGGGACCAGCAATAAAGAAACCTGTTTCAGCCATTCTGGGAGCTGTTCTGGCTGCTTGGGGCGGCCACGGCTGGGGCTCCGTCTGGCCCTCCCTGCAAAGGAGCCTCAGCCCGTTCAATGACCCACTAGAGGCCGCATCCTCTGCCCGAGATCAGAAGCCGCCAAAAGGGAAGGACCCCCCCCCCTGCTGTGGGGACACCACTGGCCAGACTGCAGAGGTGCCCAGGCTTGGCCACTTTAAGGCTGCTGGACTTCAACTCCCAGAATTCTCCAGCCAGCAGAGTTTTTAATAGACGACGAGCAGAGCCGGCTGGAGAATTCTGGGAGTTGAAGTCCAGCAGCCTTACAGCGGCCAAGGCTGGGGCCCCCCCCCCCGGCGCCCCCCCTCCGCTCAGCCGCGCGAGGGGAGGGGGAGGCTGGCCAAGGGGGGGGTCGTCACCTAAGGAAGCCCCTCCCCCTTCCTCTCACTTCTGGGGGGTCTTGATGACCAGGTGCACCGTCAGCCCGTCCTTCACGCCGTGCTGGAGCAGCGAGTCGCCGTCCTTCAGGATCTTCCCCGCGAAGATCAGCACCAGCTGCTCCTGCTTGGCCTTGAACCGCCGCGAGATCTCCTCCTTGAACTGGGGGTGGGGGGGTGAGAGAGGCCGGGGTCAGGCAGGCCGCGGAGACCCCCCCACCCCGCCCCTCCCCCACCCACCCCCGGCAGCCCCGCCCGGCCGGACCTCCCTGACGGAGATGCGCTCGCCGGTCAGGATCTCCTCCTTGTCCTTCGGCGTCTTCACCGTCACGCGGATCAGGGCGCCCGTGGCTGCCGTGGCCGCGGGCTCGCCTTCGCCCCCGCCGCCCCCGCCGCCGCCCCCGCCCGGCTGCGAGGAGGACGAGGCGCCGCTGCCTCCGCTGCTCAGCTCCGCCATCTTGGCCGCCGGCGAGCGAGAGGGAGCGCGGAGAGGTGCCGGCAGGGTACTTCCGGCGGTCTGGGCGCACTTCCGGAACTCTCGGAGGGCCGCCGGCGGAGTTCAGAGTTCAAGGGTGGGGTTATTCTCGGAAGCCGCGCCGTTCTTCCGAAAGCCCTGTCCCCGGGGAGCTGGGGCCTCTGCGATAGAAAAGCGTAGTGCCCCTCCTCGCCCCAAAGAACGGCCCCCGGCCTCCTACGGACTAGGGCTCGGCGTCGCCTGAGGGACGGGCGGCGCAGCGAGACGAGCTCCCAGAGCGCCCCACCTGCCTCAGAGGCGCGGGGATAGAGTGGTGTCGGGGAAAGGGCAGGAACCGGAAGCGCCGGAGATTACCACTCCCAGCGTGCACCGGGGGTGCGGGCCCGATCAGCTGAGGGAGCCGGGCGCTGGAGTGTCCCCCGTCTCCGCTCCTGAGCGCGCAGAAGCGGCCATGCTGCGCCCCAAGGCCTTGACGCAGGTGCTGAGCCAGGCCAACACGGGAGGCGTCCAGAGCACCCTGTGAGTCACCCTGGGGCTCGGCGTTCCCGCCTCCCCCGGGCCTGAAAGCGGCGCTTGGGGGCCCCACGGGAGACTCTCCTTCGCCGCCTGGCAGGTGGGAGGCTGAGGTGGGGGGTGACAGGGAGCGGGAGTGTGGCCCCTTTGGCTGTGGAAGAAACTGGGGAAGGGCAAAGTCCGGCTGGGCAGAGCAGGGAAGAGGTGGAGCAAGGCAGAGGGAATTCGGAGGAAGACCCAGGCCCACCCCCCTCTTCATCCTAGGGCACGCAGGGAGGAACGGAGAAGGGAGCAATGTGGGTTGCGTGGCTTACGGGGGAGGAAAGGGCCCTGATTCCCTTCATTAGCTGCAGCTGGGAAAAAACAGTGTTTAAAAGGCAATTGCGCACAGCCAACTTTTGGAAACAAATTATGAGTTATCTTTTATGGTCAAGGCTTATCTGGGTTCCTGGTGTCTTCCCAACTGTGTGTGTTTTGTTGGCCTTTGAAGTCTGCAATTCCTTCTCCTGCCCCGTCCAGTTAATTGCTGCAGCGTGGTTTTTATGGATTTTTAGTTAGAGTTTATATGTATGTTTTCGGAGGGAATTTCTTCCCTTTAAAAACTGTTGTGAGTTTTTTCTCCAGCCGAAGGTAACTGGACAGTGGGGGCCAAGTTGGAGGTATTAAAGGAAACAAAGTGACTTTATTTCTTTTGTGCCATGCCCCAGGTCATCACATTGGTATTTAATTTCATTGTATGAGGTGCAATGACAAACTAAACTCAATTAAAACAAGAGCCAGTTGCCAAGTGGCTGAATTTTGATCAGGTGACCACGGAGATGCTGCAATGGTCATAAGTCTGAAAAATGGCCATAAGTCACTTTTACCCCTGCTGTTGTAACTTTGAATGGTCACTAAATGAACTAAGTCGAGGACTACCTGTAACTCTGGGAGAGATTTCTTAATTGGCATTTTTTTTCCCTCTGGATTTCTCAATCTTGGCAATTTTTAAGATGTGTGGACCTCAACTCCCAGAATCCCCACCAACGTGGGACGCTCTTGTGCTGCATGCTGGGTTACTGTCGTACAGCCCTGTATGGCCTTTCTGTAGCAGCATGTATGTAAACTGTAAGTTGCTGGAACGGTAGGCAGTAGCTGCAGAGGGAAGAGGGATGTTCCGAAGTTACCCGATGACTGGTCTGTTCAGGACCATGGTCTGTTTTAGCAAGGTAGTTCTTTATGGTCACAATGGTTGTCAGAGTGCGGCAGTTTTATCTCAGAGGGCTTTTGGGCAAGTCTTCCAGGACCCCTTTGCTTTAGCATCCTCCTCCTCCTCCTCCTCCAGGCTTCTGAACAACGAGGGGTCTCTTCTCGCTTATTCCGGCTACGGAGACACGGACGCCAGAGTCACAGCTGCCATAGCCAGCAATATCTGGGTGGCCTATGACAAGAATGGGCACCAAGCATTCAACGAAGACAATCTGAGGTTCATCCTGATGGACTGCATGGTACGCGCACCAAGATGCGATTGTTCTGTGGCCTGCTTGGACACTGTTCTCCTCAGAGGCCTTTGCAACAAGGCTGAACAACTGTGGCCCCTGAGTAACTATGACTTCCCAGAATTCTGGAAGTCCACAGGCCATCAAGGGGCTGGAGGGTGATCAGGGCTGCAGCCAGATTCCTGCAGAGTCCTCCCAAGTTGCAACCTTTCTCTATCACGTCCCTTATGAAAGAAACATGGGAGACTTAAGGTGAAAGTTGTCCCAAGTTGCTCCGGGGCCAGAGTGGACGGATGCTGGGGGCCGAGCTAAGAGATCTCCATTGGGGAAGCGCTTTTCCTTTAGCCTCCCTTTTTTCTTTTCTTTTCCAAAATCCAGGAGGGCCGTGTGGCAATCACCAGAGTTGCTAACCTGCTGTTGTGCATGTATGCGAAGGAGACGGTGGGCTTTGGCATGTTGAAAGCAAAGGTAAGGGGGAAGAAAAATAGAAAAGAAAGGAGGTGTGTGTGTGTAAAGTTTTTGAGGGTGTTTATATGTAAACTTAAGAAAACATAGAGGGAGGGGGGAGAGAGAGGGATGGATTCTGATATTCTTCACCGCAGTTATAAGTACAAAGAAAGTTATATCATATTGCCCTTCTTTCTATAATCTAATCATAATCATAGATCACAGATTCATTTTGCTCATTTCTACACAAAAAATCCATAAGAGGCTTCTTGCCCAATAAATTAGACCAAAAGTCTTTGGAATATTTCCAGTAATATTTCATGACATGCTTATACATGGTTATCTTAAGTACTGGATTATGAAATTAATCCTAGCTGCACCCCCATGGCCTACACTATATTAGACAAAAATATGGTTAGCCACTCCATGATTTAAAATGGAGTAAAACCCTCCAGGAAACCTTGGAAAGCGGCGTTCTGTCTTTCTTCCCAGCAGCAGGAGAGGCCCTGGCAAGGCAGCAGAGATCTGTACTGTAGCCGCTCCGGCAGCTGAGTGGAGGCCAGGCCTGGCTGCAGGGCTTTCTTGACAGACCCAACGTTTTCCCTTCTCTCTGCAGGCCCAAGCCTTGGTGCAGTACCTTGAAGAACCCCTGACCCAGGTGGCTGCTTCCTGACGGGGCCTGGCTGGCCGTTGAGTCTGGGAGTCCTGCCTCCCAGCAGACCACGAAGGGTGCTGAGCACCATGTGCTTCTTTCAGACACTGGAGGGATGCGGGGAAGAGAATAAAGGACGTCCTTAGCAGCTTTTCTCTGCCTGATGGATGGATGGATGGAAGGGGCTGGGATGGTCTCGACGGCGGACCTGCCACCCAGAGCTGCCACCCGAAGGGGGAAATGGGGTGGTTAGAAATAACTGGAGCCATCATCGTTCCAGAAGGAAGAAAGTGGACGCTAGCATGGCAGAAGGGAATAATGCATACAGGAGATCAAGGACACGAAATATAAATCAACGATTCACGTAAAGAGCTGCAGAGCTTGGCGTAACAGCCCTTGGCCATAAGCCATAAGCTCAGGTGTGACTGGCTTCCCCACCTTGTTTAGCAGTGGGAATTCTGGTCCCAATTCTTTTCGTAGGTCAAGGATTATTATATGGGGGGGGGCAGGCAGGAGCCCCTCTTCTGCTGGGGTTCTTGAGTTGGAAGGCAGTACTGAAGGTGCCCACTTGGTGTCGCCCAAAGCTCAGGGAGAGAACGCCACCCGGCTGGTCTTGCTTTCAGACCTGCCCAGCCGCCTCAGGGGACCCTTTTCCAAGGGAGGGGGCTGATACTGTGCCTTGGGAAAGACCCAAAGGGACGGGTCATCGGGGGGGGGGGGGGGGGACCCTGTTGGCTTGGACTGCTTCTCTCAACCGACCCGAGACCCCTGGAAGGGTGGGATTCTCCCCTCCTGGGAGTAGGAAGGGCCCCTCCCTGGGTGGGGTGGCAGGTTGGCCTCTTGTGTGTTGCAGGGAGAGGCCCAGGTGGGAGGGAGCTTCAGGAGGCTTCGAGTGCCAAGCCGCACCTGCCACACCTCCCTCCCTCTTAGGTCTAGTTGTGTCAGTCTTCAGGGGTGAGGCAGCCCTGAGTCACCTCGCCGGGCCCTTCCTGACACTCGGAAGCCTCCAATTCTGGAAGCTGGGAAAGGCTTCTGGGCATACCAAAGGGCCTCTGCTGGAGCTTCTTCTGACCCGAGAAATTGGAAGAGATTCCCGAGTGTCTCCTGAACTACCCAGAAACCTCTTCCTGCCCCTGAACCAAAAAGTAAAGCAGTTAAATCATCCCGGGGACCTCAAAAGGAAAGAATTGAGGCGATTCAGTTAAGCCCTTAAAACGTTAAGGAGACGAGGAGGAAAGGTTTGTTCTTGTTTTTTGGCAATGAACCTTCCAGTGTAGGATCACGGAGAGAATTTCCTGAAGATCTGCACGACCAGCCTTCCGCTTTCACAGAGGATCTCAAAATGCTTTACAATAATTACGCCAGGAAAAATAGGGAAATGAAACCGAAACAGCCTGACCGTCACCTGCTGAAGCTGGGGAACAGCCTGGCCTCCCTATGTTGTGGAGGGGGGGGCGCCCAGGAATTGCCCCCTGCATCCCTCAGGAGGCGGTGGCTGTCGCTCCAGCTGAAGCCGCTCCTCACCGATGTTCTTGGCCAGCAACTTGTCCAGAGAAATAGTGCTGCCCACTGCTCTGCCCGGGTGCCTGTTCCACACGGCCAGCCCCCTTCCCCCAGCACACGATGCTCAGCCCTGGAGCTGGGGCCTGCCCATTCAAGCCGTCTTGCGGGCACCACACATCAGCTTCTCGGTCAACTGGCTCTCTCCCAGTCTCGGCCAGTCATTGCACAGCCACACCAGGTTGAGTGGCGGCAGAGACGCGGCTGAGGGTCACCAGCTTCCTTGGGATGTTCCAACTTCTCTAAGAGCAGACACAGCTGGCACTGGGCGGCTCTTCAGCCCCCCCAGGGCACCTCTGCAAATGACTGGCAGTTGTGAGGTGTCCTAGGGGGAAGAGGGTTCACCACAACACAGTTTGAGGGGACTGGCTGGCAGTGGGCGGGGGGGGGCACACATTCCCCTAACAGCAAGTAGGGTTAACTCCGTCCTGGCTCCAGGCCCTGCGGTTCTTCCAGAGTCTCCACCTGGAGTCCTGAATGTGCCTTTTGCCACCCAGGAGGCTTAGCATAACTAGATGGCATCCTTGGGAAGCCCTGGTCTCCAGAGCGGGTGCTTCCAGAGTGGGTGCCCCATGGCCTGTGGACGCCAGGGGTCACATTTCCCCTCCCCAGAATACACCGAAGCTCCTGCCACTTGGGGTCTTAGACCTCAGTCCCCATGAGCCACGGGGGGCTTGAGCTGTGGCAAAAAACAATGGGAATTATACCAGGGGCTCCCTCTCCCTGCTCTCCTCTTACTAACCACACAAGTGCTGAGGAGAAAAATCAAAGTAGCCAACCGTAACTGAATTTGGGGGGGATGAACCCCAACTGCACCCTGGGCCAAAGCTTTCTAAAAGGCCACACGTGGCTCCTGTTTGGGCAAACGGCACTGACTCTCTCGAGACTTCCAGATGAAATCCAGGGCGCGTGTTTTGACATTTAAATCCCTCAAAGTCCGGGTGTTGCCTCTTTTTGACTTCCCAGAGGGCTGTAAGCTGGGATCCTCCTCCAAGGATTTCCTGGGTGTGGGAGGGCCGTCCCAGGAGAGGCCCCGTTTGCAATCAGCCACGGCTTTTCCAGGAGCAGCTGAATGAATCCTCCTCTCCCCTTGCACGTTCAAGCCACTTTCCAGGGGAAATCCAAATTGTTCTCTCCTTGATGTCATCTCAAAAAAACTCCAGCTCAGGCTTGGAGAGAAATTATACTTGATCTTAGCCCAAAAGTGATAAAATAGCAATAGTGCTTAGACTTATATACTGCTTTATGGTGCTTTCCAGCCCTCTCTAAGCGGTTTACAGAGTCATCCTCTGGCCTCCAACAATCTGGGTCCTCGTTTTACCCACCTCGGAAGGGCGGAAGGCTGAGTCAACCTTGAGCTGGTCAGAATTGAACTGTTCTCAGTGTGCAGAGTTAGCCTGCAGTAAGCATTCTAATTGGAAAGAAGGAAGGCCAATAGCACTGAGACTTATATCCCGCTTTACAGCCCTCTCTAAGCGGTTTAAAGAGCCTCTTTCCCCCAACAATCTGGGTCCTCCTCACTTTACCAACCTCAAAATGATAGAAGGCTGAGTCAACTTTGAGCCTAGTGAGATTTGAACTGTTGGCAGTGGGCAGAGTTAGCCTGCAGTACTGCATTTTAATCACTAGGAAGGAAGGAAGGGCAATAGCCTTTAGACTTATATACCACTTCACAGTGCTTTACAGCCCTCTTTAAGCGGTTTACAGAGCCTCTTGTCCCCAACAATCTGGGTCCTCGTTTTACCCACCTCAGAAGGGCGGAAGGCTGAGTCAACTTTGAGCCTGGTGACATTCGAACTGCCAAATTGCAGGCAGCCGGCAGTCAGCAGAAGTAGCCGGCAGTCCTGCACTGTAACCACTGCGCCACCGCAGCTCTTGAAGTGGTATTTCCCACTCAGACAGCACCAACTGGGCTGATCCAATGGGGACCTACGGTCGTGTTTACCTTATCACTGACTATGAATTGGAATGTTTTGTTTTGATGTGAGTTGCCACGGATGCTTTCGTTGTCTTTCGTTCACCGCCAAGGAGCTCGATGAAAACGGGGCCTGGGAACGGAAGAGAGCAAAGCGGTGAACGTAGGGGAAGGCATCGACTGCTGGCCAGGGACGGGGAGCAGCAGGGAGAGCCTCCGTTGGGGAAGAGAGGGGCAGCTCCGCTCGGCCAGAATGCCAACCCGCTCTCGGTTCCCCGTTCAGGGATCCTCTCCGTCCTGAAAGAGGATGTTGGCAACGGTATAATCAAAGTTCCGCTTGCTTTTTGAATGCATTTTGCCACAGGCTGTGCCTACAAAAAAGCAGGTCACACTTTATCCAGGCCGCCTTGGCCGCCGCCTCCGGTTCTCTGACCAACAACGCCTTGAGTGTCTCCAAGTGTTTTGAGCCTAAAAGTAAACAAGGTGACTCCGGAGGTTTGCCAGCACCGCCTCAGCTTGCCTTTCCACATTGCAGCCACGCTGAGGTCACCCCTTCCACATTCCTGCCTTCTGGTCTGACCGGATGGACGGGAGGCCTGTGGCTTCACGGCCAAAGGAGCCCCTTCCCGTGGCCTACAAAGGGGGGGGGGGCGCACTGTGGCAAAGGGGCACATTCCTGCTTCCCAGAGGAAACGTGGCCAATGTGGCCAGCTGGGGGATTCTGGGAGTTGAAGGGCACAAGTCTCCAGGTGCCAAGGTCGAGGAAGAGCTGGGCAGCGATGAGAGGCGGTGGGTCGTTTTTGCAGCCCAGCGGCACGAAAGGAGACTCCATTCGATCGGCTCTGGGGGAGTTTTCCAAGCCGCCTCCCGCTTCTAATGATCTGTCAGTCGAGAGTTTTCTATCGGTTCAATCTGTACAACAACGTAACCTGTGAGACGGTCCCGCGAAGCCCCAACTTGGGCGCCGAGAGAGGAAGGCAGCGCAGCCAAGGGGAGCCGGGGAGGCCGTCCGGGCGGCGACTCGGGAGGCAGCAAAGAGCCGCCTTGCAATCCCGCGGGCCGAAAGCCGAGCCGGGCTCCGGCAGACGAGTCCCCCCCCCCCCCCGCCCGGCCTCCCGGGCAGGCTCGGTGCAACGGCGGCCAGGGGCGCCTTTGGGGCTTCCCTCCCACGGACGGATCCCCAGCCCGGGCGTCTCGCAGCCCCCCGCCTCTTCCCCAGCCGCGCTCGCCGGGAGCGCCTCGGCCCCGCTCTCCGACTGGCGCCGGCCGTTTCGGCCAGGTAGAGAACGGGGCTCCTTTGGCCACGGCCCGCCTCGCCGACCCAGCTTTGGAGAGCGAGCAGCCTCGCTCCGCTGGGCCAACTTGGCAAAGGAGCGCCCGAGCCGCCGTCGGCGGAGCCAAGGAAGCGGCAGCCCCCGGGAAGCCAGGCCCGTTTGCCCGGCAGGGCAGCGGCGCCTCGGAGCCCGCCGCTGCCCGCCTCACCTGCCGCCGGCCCCGCCCTCCCAGGTGAGCCCCGCCCCGCCCGCCGCCGCCACCGCCTCGCCCGCAGAGCAGCGGCAGCAGCAGCAGCAGCGGCGGTGCGTCCAGCCATGGCGGCGGCGGCGGACGACGACTACAACTTCGTCTTCAAAGGCGAGGGGCGGCGGGGGGGCGGCGGGGTCTCCCCTGCAGGGCCGGGCCGGCCGCGGTTCGGGCGGGGCGGGGGGGGGGGAGGGGAGTTGGGGGGGAGGGGGGCGCGCGGAGGGAAGGCTCGGCTGGGGCTTCGGGGGCGGCCGCCCTGCCGGTTCGGGCTCGGCCCTTCTCCCCGCCCAAGAATCGGTCCCCGCGCCGGGATCCGCTCGATGCCGCTGCAGGATTCCAGCCTCCCGGTCCCTGCGAGGCGAAAGGGCCACTTTCGTTTCCGCCGCCCCCGCCCCTCTCCCCTCCCCCGGCGGTTCTGTGGGCAGCGAGGAGGCTCCGCTGGGCTCGGCGGTCTTCAGTTGCCCCCGCAACCCTTTCAGTCCGCAGGGGCCTCGCTTAGTCCCCCCCCCCCCCTCCCCGCCCCCCCAGCTCCCGTTTAGCTGAGCAGCTTTGCCAGCGAAGGAGGTGAAGAAAGCCGGATTCGGGGTGTGTGTGTGTGTGTGTGCTCAGCACAGGCAGAAACCTGGCAGTTCTGGGGCCCCAGGATGGGCCTCGTTGGGGCCCCTGCACCTCCTCCACCTGCCCCTCTTGCCAGGGGCCAGAAGGGACCGGCCTCTCCTGGCAGCTTCTGGGGCCCCCCATGTGCCCGGCAGCCCCCTCCCGTTTAGCACCTGACCCGCATGGCCAGCCCAATTTGGGACGTGGCCTGCTGCTTCTTTCCCAAGAGTTATATTTACTTTTTTTTAGATTAAAAATGCCCAGAATAGAACCTGCCTTGCTCTCCAAAGGTGTGAATGTTCTGGAAAGCTTCACTCACAACATTTTGGAAGATGCGGCTCCCCTAGGAGGGTTCCTCTCCCTGCCTCTTTCCCCCACTTGGGCCCTTAGAAATCCTTTCTTAGGGAGCACGGAGGAGTCCGGTACTTCAATGCCCTGGAGGTGCTTGGCCTGCCTCCTCCTCCTCCTCCTCCTCCCCCCCCCTTCACAGCAAGGGGAGCCTTTTCTCTGTGTGCCTTGCAGGGCCTTTTCCTGCAAGGAGCCATTCTTACACAGGGGAAGGGGGGGGGGGAACACATGCACGCTGACCCCGACCAGCAGAAGCAAAGCACTGCAGCCTTATTAACCTAGTAGGGGATCGGGCCCTCCGCTCTCTCAGTGTAGATGGTTTCTGATTGCATTGACTGGCCTGCACCGACCTCATAAAATGTGCTGTTAAATGCAGAATACACCAGCGGTGTGATAGAAGCCTTAACCTTTGTGTATTAGAAAGTGTTAAAAAGGAGATGTGGATATTGGTGTGTAAACACCACACACACACACACACACAGTCACAATTATGACTGTGTTCAAGGAAGTAACAAGGGGGAAGGGGGGAGAGAGAGAGAGAAAAAACACACAAGCAGGGCCAAAGGAGAGAACTCTGCCAGGCAGAGTGTCCCTCGCCTGCTTCCTGAGCAAGAAATAGTCATTTCCATCGTGAAAACAGAAACCAGCTTGAGAAGAAACGGCTTATGCGGGCACCACATTGAGTTTCCTCAACTATGATTGTTGCTCACGGCCTTGAGTGCTTAGATACCATCAGCAGAAAGGTGTATATAAATATAATAATGCAAACTGAAAAACAATAACGTGTGTCAGAGAAGATTTTCTTCAAGGAACAGCCCAGATAGGTGCTTTCATCAACTTCAGATTAAATTTCCCTTTAATCTGGTGGTTCATTGGATGATTTTGTTCCATATCTTCCGTGTTTCTGGCTCAAGGCAATTTCGCTCTTGGCAAGGAAATCTCAGGCTAAAATTGGGGCCTGTGCAGTGCCAAGGTGTAGTGGGATAAAAAGTCAAAGCGTCTTTAGACCCAAACGGATAATCGATTCAGAGTCGGATTCCTGGTTTTCCATTTAACATTTTACGATTGTTTCGTGTTAACTCTGGTCTCTTAAGTGCTGACATTTCAGGGGGCATAATCACTCTTTTGTGATTGGCAAACTTCCTTTAACTGGTTAGTTAGTAGTGTATTTCTATTGACAAATGGAGATTTTGAGTGCTGATAAGACTCGGAAAAGACACATTAGGGATTGAATCAGACATTAGGCGAGGAAGACGCCTCACCTGGCAGCCTGAGAGGTCACGGGTGGCGTCTGAGGGGAGCAGCCCCCGCACCCCCCTTCAGCAGGTGAGCCAAACCCCCCCCCCCCCCCGGAGCAGGGCCCAGAACTGCAGGCGAGGCTGGCCCGGTGGACAGACAAGCAAACAAACGGCCCGAAAGAGAAGCCAAGAGGTTCAGCCCCAGGGAGGGGCCCTGAGCCGGTTCCTCCAGGAAGTGCCTGCAGGGTTCCCTCCCGCCTGGGGTGCGGCTGCTGACCCAGCCCAGCGCTCACCTTTGCCCCAGGAAAGTCCTGGGGGTCTGAGCCTGCCTACTCCAGACCGGAGGTCCAGCCAGTCAAGCCAGGACATCCAAGAGCTTTGCCCCCACCCCCCACCCCCGGCTGGTCACTCCCTGCTTGGGCTACTCCTAGAACAGATACTCTTCTCCCCCTTTCTCTCTCTCCCCCCGCCCGTGGGTGTATACAAGTGAGTGTGAGAATGACTGTGTGTGTGAGAGTGAGTGATTCACCTGTTCCAGCAAGGTGGAGCTCCTGCCTGGGGCCCTATAAAGTGCTGGGAGGAGCAACTGCCTAGGAGCCCCTGAGGGAGGCTGCAGGCTGCGCCTCCTGGCCGTACCTCCTGAAGCTGGATCGGACCTCCTCCTCGGGATCCAGAAAGTCCCATCCATGGGTCCCTGGGTGATCAGGGGATCATCCTTCCCCCCCCCCCCCCGGCAGCTTTCTTTTCAGGGAATTTCCTTCGGCTGCCTGCGGTCCTGGGCTGCCCCTCCTCGTAGCGCCCTTCACCCGGTTACGCCCTGTTGCACTTGCCCTTCCTGCCCCAATTCAGTTGCGAAACCTTCAGGGCATGAAATCCCGCTGCGGAATGAGAGCCTAGCCGGCCGTGTTTGTGGCGGGGCCCTTTGGGGGTGGGGTGGAAAGAGCCAGGGGCCCTTTGCAGAGGAGGCAGCTCCGGTCTTCAGGCTCCCTCTGAGCAGCCGGCTAGTCTCTGCCAGGGCTCACCCTCCGGGACCCGCTCCTTTCCCCACAGAGGGTGCAGATCTGGTCACCGGCCGGTGGGGCCAAGTTTCCTCAGCATCTCCAGCAGGGGTTCAGTTGAGGAAGGCAACGCAGCTGCTTCGCCCATTTGGCATTCCTGCTGTGGCCAAGAGAGGGGGGGGAGACTGTGTTCTCCCTAATTAGCATGCGTGTTGGAGGGTGGGGGCCCTTCAGATTTCGGCACACCCTCCCCAGTTGCTAGAAGTGGAATCTCGAGAGGGCCCTTGGAGGCCACGGAATAACTTCAGAGTCACCCAGAGCCTGCAGTAGATTCTCTTGTAAAGAAGATACATCAATATTTGAGGGGTGGGTGTGTGTCCGTTACTCCCGTGGGGGCAAGCACTTGGCTGAGGCAACAAAGAGACACTTTCACAAATGCCTCCCCCCCCTTCCATGGTTAACTTGAACCTTGGTTTACTCCACACCATTTCCTGAGGAAGCGGAATAGTGCAATTCAGGAACCTCAGGCTGACCACATCCACCGGATTTGCACACCCTTAGCTAAAGTGCGGTTAGCCTCTTGCACAATCTCAGCCCCAGGGTGGTGGTGGAGGGGCGGGGAAGAGCTGGCCTTGCTGGGCAAAGGGTCCTGGGAGCCCCCCAGAAGGTCAGCATAAACCTTGGCTTGCCTCTGAGGGAAACTGAGCCTTGGATGGGGCCGGCTCTTACCCTCTCGTGGTCCCAATCTGGACTGCACGTTCCTTGGCTCGGCCGTTTCCTGGATTTGAACCCAGTGCTGCAGAAGGTGCAAATCACAGCTGGCAAATGAGGAGGAATGGGGGTGGTTTGGCTGAGCTCGGCCACTGCAGCTCCAACTCTCAAGAACGGAGGTCTCCAACCTTGGCCACTTTAAGACCTGTGGACTTCAACTCCCAGAATTCCTCAGCCAGCAAAGCTGGCTGA